TTATTTTTTATTAAAATTGATATACTTAATTTCCGTCCCGCAGATAGATTTACATATCAAAAATTTCTTTCATTACACATTTAACGTAGTAAAGTTAATAAAAATACCCTCCGATATAAAATTTGCATGTTTTCTGTATCTGAGAAACTGTCCTTCTAAGAAAATGATATTCATTAAATAAGAATGAACAATCATTTTGCTTATTAAAATGTATAGATACAAGTGAAATGTATTATTATTTATTTAACAATACAGGAAACCTTCGTGGCAATAATCATCTGGCATGTGCATATTTACATTGTGAAAACGACGATTCTTGCGTGCACCGTACATTCCGGTGCAAAGATCCTCCGTGTCCTAGCATGCTTTACTGCGCGAAATCTCGGATAGGTAAGCAGCTTAACGAGCTTCCCCAGCGATGAAATTGATTGTATGTACATACATTATGACTCAAAGCTTGTAAACATTTTAATGACAATGCAGTATAAATTAAATTCATATAATTACAAATTATATACAATAAACTGTATACAACGAAACATTACCATTCTATTAAGATATTGTTACAATTAATAGAAATAAATTAACTACGTAAAAATTCAATGCTTTAAGAGTCAATGAGAGGGCCACCTACCTGCGATAGCGTATACTGTAGCAATGGGTATTTGTGTATGGTGAAAGTTCGAAGATGTCTTTGGGATCAAAGTAAGTATTATTTATATAATGATTAACTTTCCTCTTAAATTTCCCATATCTAAATTTACAATTTCCAAAATAAAACTACTTTTTTATCGTACACCACTATTCGTGGCCACGTGGCTCACAAAAAATATTTTCTTACAAAAATCGGCATGTGTCAGAAAAGAAATTTCTTCAAAAAGGGACTCTTACATCATAAATATCATTAATACCTAACAAAAAGAAAATATAATTCACGAAAGTAGATATATATAAAAAGAATAATTAAATAAGACTCTGTGCAAGATTCAGTACATCACTAAGAACAATTAGAAATATAGATATTTAACGATGTAAATGAGATCATATAGCTCATACATGTCAACACGTTGACCACGGTGGTCACCGACAACCAGTGCTTCCAAGTTGCTGAAATACATTTTCAATGAGACAACTGATGTCAAATAAATAATATTTAGTAACACAAATAGCTAGACGATAGTGTAATACGAGTACTATGATACCAGATCATTAATAATCCTTTCTAATACCATTTGCCTTTGTTATGAAAGAATATGTATTACCATACGCTCGTAATTCTCATGGCAGTCAACGAGTTAAGCACCATTGTATTTATCAGAGTGTGACCAACAAATTGCGAGATGCGTGTCTCAACGAGAGTATCACGAAGGTCCAGCATCCTGTGCTGGCTTCACGTGTCCTCAGGGCAATCAATGTATCCTACGGGAGTCACTTTGCGCCAGTCCACCCTGCAAACTGCTCAGGAGCTGCAGCAAGAACAAAGGTCAGTCGTAAAGATTCACATACACGCTATAAGCGATGGGTTTCACCCTTTTTCACCTTTTTTTGAATGCAACACGTATCACGAAACTTTGAAAGACTCAAACCTATCGCTTGTGTATAGTATAGTTAACTCCTTGGCTACGGCAGATTTTGATACGTACCGCAAATAGCATATGGCAGAAGGTCAATTGCGACCTACACTGAGAAAAGCGGAATTCTTTTTAGTATATCTTTATTTGTTTAATTGAATTTAATTCATCAGCTCGCATTTCTAAGAAAGTGTATTGAAATAATCAAAACATTAAGTTGAACTAAATTAAACCAATAAAATAATCAGATTTATATAATATATGACTAGCGGAAAATGTAATCGTTGAGTTAGAATTTGCTTACGTTTTATTCAAGTGAACTTTGCCACAATTATTGTCAATAACAGTTTACCGGTGCCTACAGATTTTTTCAAGCGTCTTTAAGCGCCAACAGTAGCCAAGGGGTTAATGTACAAACTTTCTCTTACGTAGCTTAGTTAAATATTAATAATACGTTCAGACATGTACAATGAATAGTTAAACACGTTACTTATTTCTAATGAGATCCTTCAAATTTTACGATTAGCTAAACTGAACTTCAGAAATAGAAATTATTAATGGAACAAGATTCATGTTTCAGATGTACGCAATTGGTTCAGCAAATGTCGAAGCCTTGGTTGTCCGTCGGAGTTTCAGTGCTTCTTGCGGAGACCAGAAAGCACCTGCTTAAGTCCACCCTGCAAACATACTCCGGATTGCATAACAACAGGTACCTATATATATTGAACAAAACATATTTATCTTTAGGTAACATTGATTGAAAAGGTTGCACTTAATGTTTGACATTTCTTGATATTTTCTATTATATGAGAATTCTTAAACTTTCCGGTTCGAAGAATTTTTGGTCTTCACTTTGAAAGTTGAATTAATGTAATGTTCTGTTGTTCCAATGTAGTTTTATATGATACTTTAATCATTTATCTGAGGACATTTGACGAACATGATTAGAGGCTTATTTAATTTTTAACTCTTAGTTATATATGATATTACGAATAATTTCAGTAAATATTGACAAACTATTTAAATATTCGAATAAATTGAATGCCGAGTCTACCTCGATTTAGGACCGCAAAAGTTTAATATTTTTTCATTAAGTTATTTATGTCATATATAATTAAATTCGATTCGATTGTATTACAAATAGATATTTAAATAATGAAATTTGAACGTTTATTGCGCTTCTTTATTTATATAAATACAAAATTATTATTATTATATATAATAAATACACCTACAATTACTTGAACATTGATGTTTGATATTTATATATTAAATTACTTTGTACTGTACTAAATAAATAAATGATTTTATTCAATTTTATATAAAAAATAAAAACTTATAAAAAACCTTTACATTTTCTCGAAAAAGTAAAATTTTTCTGATATTTCCAGAAGATGAGGTGACCAATGAACACTGTCGCGGATGGATATGTCCTCGACAGCATAAATGTACCGCAGAAACTGTAACGCCCTGTGCATCAAATAACTGCAATGTTAAGAGAACTTGCAGTATGATACCGCAAAATCGTTCGTTTTCTTCGAGAAGATCTCTAAGTAACGAAAGTATAGACGTTCAGATTATCCAAGGCAACATAAAGGTAATTCATTCAATTAATACAAAATTTTATTAGGGATGTCATCGTGTACTAATATATGCAGTCACTTTCAAAAATATCCACTCACCTACTTATATAATATATTTCACACATTTAACGAATTTTAATGAGGAATTAATAAAAACATTTCTTTTCTTTTTAATATTATCTGTTAAATTATAAATATCTTCTGTTCCTTTTTTTCAAGTCTATTTACGTATAAGGTAATTAACTTTAAGGTTGTTAAACTTAACCCTTTACACTGGAATCGTTTTTTCACTCATATTGCCAGTAACTCGAAGCAATATCAATAGAAGAAAATATATTTACATATAAATAAATGAAAAAATTTGCCAGTACAAACTGTAAAATTGTATCATTAAATGCATGATAACATTTATATCTATGACGAATAAAAAAAATGGTAAAATACATTTACGGCTTTTCTTTTTATTCGCATGAGTATAGATACAAATGTTATAATATATTTGATGGCACAATTTTACAGTTTGTAATGACAAATTTTAAATGGTTCTGCTCCGGAACTCTCGAGTGCAAAAGGTTAAGAATAGTCGTTATTAATACCCTTTAATTACTATGAACTAAATGTTTTCCATTTCTATAGTAACCTGTTTTTTATTCAAATAAACATCGTCACTACGTAATGTACCGGGTATCCCGTAATTAATGGTTATTCAATCGAAAAAGGTGAGACATAACTTGAAAAAACAAGTCGTAAACGTACAGGTAGAATTCTCCATTTAAAACCTCGTTTTCAAGAAAGTCAAGCGTCAACATTTGTCGACCACACACGCACCGACCAACTCTTAAGTAAATATGAAAGGTACAATCGCCGGACGGTTATTCTGTACGCGGTAATTAATTTGAAGTAGAAAATAAAATTGTTTTATCTAAAACTTTATTCTCGAAACATTTGAATTTAAACAGTTTCTGTTAACAGTTAATCAAATATGTATGTGCTCGACAAATATACAAATTAACTTTTTCATAAACAAAAAGGTTGTTTCTCACTATTTTAATTTGTTTTGTTAGTATCAAAATTGTTTAATAAAGGTAGCCGAATGTCTGAGTATTCAATAAATTTCCAATCTCGATTTTTTCGAAAAGTGAACAAATTTTATTTTATATTTCCGGTTTTTTTTCGTTTAAAGTCATTCCCTTCTCGGTTGTACCATCAGTTGTAGGACAGTATGCAAAAGTGATACATTGACAATGAGTTAGTTTACTTGTTTGCTTCTCAATCATGCAAATACTGTTAACAGAACAACTCGAAACTTTGCATGCACATAAGCAATGAATCAAATTAACATATAAACCATCAGGTATTTTCAGCCTAATAGTATACTAATGGAAATACAAGAAACTGTAGATACAAAACCACGATATCGATACAAACGATTTCAGACATTATAAAACCTGTCATTACTACAATTGCCTTAATAGTACATGATATATGCTGAGTTATTACTAGACAGTGAATATTGATGTAAATTCATATTTATGTCGACTGATTTATAGATACAAAAAGGAAGAAAAAATTTACTTCTTGTGTTATGTGTAATTCAAAACATTTAAAAGCCTATTGCATTTGACTAAAATTCCTATTTTTATATGTCTTTTTTATGCATAGAGATTTTAATATACTCAAATTCAATTAGGAGAATACAATTTCAATTCACACCTTATGTCATGATCACATTTTATTTGTATAGGTTTCCCAGAATGCAAGTCGCGTAAATAGTAACGAAACAGCAAAGTGAGTAGCCTAGTTTAAGAGATTTCATAACTATGCATTGTAAACAGGGATTATAAGATTGATTTATATACATATGACTGATTTGAAAATTGATACAATCATGGTAGGGTTTTAGGTACTTTATTTTGAACTTTTTCACAAGGAAAGAACGACTCGAATTTTCAAAAACGATTATGAATTCTAATGTAAATATCTTTTCGAATAAAAAATTTTTTTCTCTTTGAAATTCCTGAATGTTTTAACATAAGTATCTTTAAACAAGAGTACGTATAACGAGAAATGGTAAAAAAGTTTCCAATATTTATAATACTTTACAATTATTTGTTACATGACTTATATTTATAATTTACTAATAACAGAACATTATAATAATTTTCATTTATAAATTAATAAAAATAAATTTGATTGTATAATTTTGGATGTGACTTCTAATCGTCTTCACGTTCATTCTAAAGCTGACTATAATTATACGACCTTTACAGTTTTTTTCAACTTTTAAACTTTTTAAGTACTTTGTAAGTATAAGAATAATAAGTGTTTGTATTTAGTATTTATATTTATACCCTCTTAAGCGGAAAAAGCGCGTCAATGTAAAGATTGCCACATATATAGTAAATCGTTTAAAAATGCCATCTATTCAACTATTACGAAAAATCAATTAACGAATTAATTGTCTGTTTAAATGCCGAGTGCTACGTAGAATACTACATACCTGGCTGGACCATTTCAATTCGAAAACGGAATTGGACGCTATCGAACTGTGGATAAACAACTCCATAGAACAAAAGGATTTTAAGGTAACAATACCATTTATTCCGGCATTGTATTTTTAAAGAGGTAGTAGATAACACAAATACAATTATTTAATATATCTAACTGAATATTACGTAAAAGACTAAAATTATTAATATTATATTCATTAATATTATATCATTATTATATTAATATTTCTAATGTATATTTTGGAAAATTCAATCCATCTTCTTTTAAATTCGACAATAAGAATTATATTTTAACATTTCAATACCAATTTTACTCTTAAACATGTAAAGAGCATTTTAGGTACATATCTACACGAAAAAGGACACAAAAATGACCAAAATTATAAATCTGAACTGAGTAACCAAATTAAAATTACAAAAATTAAGAAAAACCGTTCCTATTTTCTAGAATCTCAAATTGCTTCTAATTTAAATTACATATAATTTAAATTAGAAAACACCGAACATTGTGCGAACACATTCAACTACTTACATAAAATTTTTAGATACCAGTTCCATTTCTTATTATATCTAATTTTCAATTCTTATCATTTCTTATTTGCTTTCATTCTTACTATTCACTTTATCTAGGCAGTAAAAAGGATCATCGTTTTACTATCCTATATAAATCTAAATTCGAATGAAATGCTGATGTTCGACTTTCAAACTAGAATGTACTGTAAGCAACGTAAGATAAAGCTTCTGACCATCTGTTTCTTTCTAGCAATTTCAAGAATGGCTTCGGTCCATCAAGGATGTACTAGGTCCCAGTGCATACACCGACTGGATCAAGGGAATTCTTGTCTCGACGTCGCGCAGCGAAGAATTTCGAAAATGGCTACGAACGTCACATATTCACGATCCTCTCGATACTGATAAGCTCGATGGCGAACATGTGAAATCGATATTCTCAAAACGAGTACGACCACAGAAAGAAGTGGCACATGATCAGGCGGAAAATCAATACCCCATTTACGTTACGTTGGTAAATATGATCAAATTTTAATATAATTTTAAGCGTACTGATTATACGGGCTGCTGTTATTTGCAAGGTAATGAAACTTCCTGTACGGTATTGAATTTATAGGATAATTATACATCCTGAAAATAAAAGGACAATCCTTTATTTCATTGCCCTGTCCTTTAGATTCATTTCTTTTATCTAACATGACCATTTGAGCCTTTATCTGATGAATTGAAATAGTAAATTGGATAACGATGCATTTTTTAAATAAAAACTCTATTTGTTAAAAGAATTTTAATGAAGAATATCAAAATTAAATTTTTTACCAATTTCAATTTTTTTAGTTTCCTAATAGATAATACACAAAATGGTAAATAAGATTTAAACACCATAATACCAATTCGGAATAATAACAATTACAATTTTCGGAAGCAAACAATTTTTATTCTGATACAATCTTATTATAAAAAAAGGGTGAATATTTAAATAAAAAATCGTATTACTTTACATATTACAAGTATAATTAGTAGCTGTTAGATTATTCTGACGTTTAGATCAAAATTATATTTTCATCATAAAAACCTCACTAATTTGTTTCTGTAAGTTTCATAAAGCTATAATGAGCAATAAGAAAACTTTCATTCGCCATCAAGAAGTAACATATGATCATGAAACTTTAAAATGTCTGGAACTGCCCAATAATAAAGTTCCACCAGTCTCATTTCTTGGTTTTGTCAGACGACGAACGCGCAACAGAATCACGTTTGTCCTAACAAAAACGTCGTTATGTGAAATGTACGACCATACCATTAAGTTCTTCACTAGACGTTACAACATTTTTCAAAGCTTTTAGGTAATGCAATATTCATTACAGAACGAACCTTCACAAGAAGATTTGGATAAGGTAATAGAAGAACTCAATATTCTGCTACGCGACCAGAATTACACAAACGCAATAGAAGAATTTCTTGCTTCGAAACAAATATTCTTGGCGGAGTATAATGACCTGGAAACAGCTTTGCTAAACCATGTGAAAGGGGAAAAGGAAAATTACCCAAACAATAATAACATGTATGAAAAGGATTCTCGTATATTTTCCACAGGAAATATGGAAATCCAAGACATCAAAACAAGTGATCGTATCACCAATGGTCGCCATAATGTTCAAACACAAACTGTAATAACATTTCAAAATGAAATTCCTTATGAACAATTAGATAATTTTTCGTCTGTAAGTATACCGATATTATAAATAACATAGATTTTTAAAATGGAAATTTTTAAATTATAAATTAATTTAGAATGTAAAAGGTACTTCAATAAATTCACTTCATTAGTTTCATTTGTTAATGTAATTTGTTTGTTAAGAATGTTTCAGAGATATTAAAAGATTTATCTAGTGCCGATCATGAACCACCATCTTTGTGGACTGGATTTGATGAAGATTCCATAAATAATATTACTGAAACTCCAAACAATAGTACATTTTCGAACATAGAACACCACACAAATAACGTTTCTACCAATATACTGGACATGTTAATTAAGTCATTACCGTTTCCTGTAATTGAAACTGTGCAAGGAAGTTTCGATGAAAAACTGGTCAATCGAAGCAACTCAGAAGTAAGTTCTGACATATGTGTTGCACGAAAAAATATTGTTTATGTAAGTCTGCATGAATAATACGTACAAAATTTTCAAATTAGAATTTACACACTTCAAAGAATTCAAAAAAATTGAAATTCAATTTTATACAATACTAATTTAATTACTATTATTATTATCGTTATTATTATTACTGAAATCTGTATATTGTTTATACACTTCTCATGCATAAAAATAGTTCCTTTTACATCTAAAATCGAATAATTCTGACGTTTCTTCAATTTGTTTGAGGATTCGAATAAAAAGTACGCTTCAAATGCATCAACATACACCAGCGGTGACCCGTTTACGAGCAAAAAATTTAAGGAAGTTGCAGGGCAATCTTCTTTGTACAGCAACGCTGACTTCGCGAACAATTCCGAACCAAGAGTCGATGGTAAGTTCTTCAACAAATTAAGTAAGTTTGCCTGCACCTAAGTTCCAAAACCATTCCAACTTCGACGATTTCAATGGGTTAAGGTTTTAACACATCAATTCATTTAATACCGCGCTTTACAGACCCACGTTTGGCTAAAATTAACAAACAGGAAAATTGAAAATGTTGTTCCGTGTCATTCGACCTTCACATCTTAATCATTTAGCTGTTTTTGGCGAATATACTCGTCATAAAAAAATTACAAGTTTCTGTGACGAATGTACTCGTCAAAACAGCTACAACTTACTTTTTGGGGCGCATTTTAGGTACACACTTTTCAAAGAAGTCTCAACAGCTAACTGGTTAAGGATCATAACACTTTCAAATCCATTATTGATCCTATACGTAAATATTTTTATTATGAAATTCATACTGATATACATAAGAAATCTGCCGTTTTCTTAATAAACTAATAGTACAATTTATGCCCTACATATGTTTTATCTCTGTATTTCATAAAAATGATCTATACGTTTAATATTGAATCTAAGAAGAAATAATGGCTTATTAAATTCTACATTCTGCCCTAACATACACTCATCGATAACTGTAATCATTATAAGCAGAAAATAAAATGAAAAGTAATTAAACCTGAATGATGTAACATACCTATACGTTCGTCGATTCATTAGTCGTGTCAAAGAAACTCGAATAAAATTTAAGACATACCAATATGTACTTCTTACTGTGCAAGGAATGGGAAAGAATGAGGAAAATCAATTTATTTCAATTACGTGTGAACGTGAGTAACATATCATAGTCATTAAAATTATTTATTTCTTAGCTTTGATCAAGGAATATTTAGCTTCGCCATATTTTCCGTTGAAGAAGCTATCGTTAATGAACCTATCATTATAAGTGTAGTCAATTTAAAATAAATACATTAATTTATATTGCACCATGTCTGAAATTTACGAAATTTAAGTTTAAGCTGTCGTTCCCTGGGGAGTAGATATATGGTACCAGTTGGTGATTTCAGCATCGTTAGCTCAAGACTCGAGTTCCAGAGTACTCATTGATCGGTCCCACTAGAAAAATACAAAAAATGATAGCGGACGCTAATTCTCGATGACCCTCGCAACTAGACAGCCCGGTTCGACCGGAGAATTATTTTAATTGGCGACACATATGAGACCGTTATGTGTCTCGACTAGTAGTCATTAATTGGTATTCGATAGCCAATTGGTTTGGCATTTTTAGAAAGTTGCATTTAATGACGCAACTGTTCAATTGTCTTCCTTATGTGTTTCCAATAATCGAATTATATCACATAATTGTTATCTTCACTTTGAAAAACATGAAAAATGGAATCTCCTTTTCATGGAATACTAAAATATTTGTTATTAACGATCCTTTCGTTCTTTCTTACTAAATCCGTTCCTAAATCATTTGCTTAGAAGACGTAATTCGTTCCTGGAAGTCTATTTAACTATGAAACACGGTATCCTATAGAATTTTTATGTAATGCCTTTCGAGCAAATTAGTATCCACTCGAATGGGTAATCCCGATGTCCTCGCTCACCTTCTGCTTCCCATGAAAATCAATCATCATGACAAGTTTTAAAAAGTATTTTTCTCGTTTTGTTGTTTCAGATATCATCAGGTCTTTTAATTACTCGGAGCAGTTAAGCGGCAGTAACGAAGGAATATCATTCATTCGAAGCACAGACAAAACTAATGAAGCAACTGATGTGGGTCATTTCTTCGACATGAACAAGGAAACTCTGTTACCTTATATACAGAGGCTAATTGAAACAATGGACCAGGAGAACGATTCCTCGAACGAGTTGGGTAGAAATGGACATGAAAATGAGGTACATGTTTTTATAAATTGTTGTATTCTACAAAATTGAAGGATATTATTACTATATTCATGCAAAAAATCACGCAGTTGCATTAAAAAGCGGGGGCAATTGCACTTTGCAACTGCACAACAACCAAATTATAAACCAGTTTTGAACTGTAAATTAACAATTACTTTTTAGTAGCACAGCTAAGCAACTAAAATTGAATGGAGGATTTTGCAGATGGGATTTATGTGGAATATTGTGTCTTTGTTGATATTGTTAGGGTTTTCACGATTTCAATTTCCTTGTATCTAGTCTCAATCTTGGTCTCACCAAGAAAGATCTTGTACCCTGTGAATATACGGGGCTCTGCCACGACAGACTGAATATACTTCAGTCTGTTGCATCTCTTATACTTTTTCAGAATATATGCAAGTTTTCTAAAACTTTTCCTGCAATATACTCGTGCGTAACTTTGTATCAACATTTATTTTATATTAGAATGATTCCAGGTGAGATGGCTCGATCTCGTTTAAATTGAAAAGTATCTACATTTTCAATTGTTTTTAGAAATATATTGAATCTTGCATAGGGGTTTATTTAATTTGTATATATCCGTACAAATCGAATAAATTTCTCTGATCTCATTTACTTGGTCTGTCTTTCTCCTGTAAAATAAATTGTATTATAAACATATCATCAGTGGACCAATTTCTCATGCGGGTTTTCAATATTCAAAATCGAATAAACTTTCTCCATGATTCAAACCTATAAAAGAGAAAATTTGATTTGCTTTTTTCAAATCAGCTTATCTCCTGGAGTGAAATGCACGAGTCATACACTTCTCAATTATTTTTCACTTTTAGTATCATACATTTAAATGATTTATTTATTCCGTAGGTTATAATTCTTTTATTTTTCTATTACCTACGTTTTGAAATAATTTCTTTGAAACATAACAAATTTACAAGTAAGAACTTTGAGAATTTCGTACATTTTTCGAGTTAGCCTGTCATATAAACCGGTTTTTATCTTTGCCAACAGGAAAGGGATCCAAGGACGTCTGAACTCATGTATAAGAGCAAGGAACTTCACTCTTTTTATAATTTACCAAGCTACGGAGTTAGTAACAGCGATCCTGTTGCTGTTGAAAATGACAATGATAAAACAGCGCAATTATGATCAAGTGATAAAAGTAACATAACACCATTCGCATGAATAACATGAAGCAGAAAAGTTCATTTCAGTAAAAATTATCGCACAGTAGAAAGTTTGTGACATTTTGTTCCAAATTATGATAACATAGCAACAGAATTACTTAAATAATGGAACTAATTTTTAAGAATATACACAGTTCACGAAAACAGGCATACTAAAAGATAAACATTTACATTATTGTTTTGCTAACTGTATATGAACCTACTAAAAAATTACCATTTATCAATTACAAACGAATAATGGAATCGGGTACTTAAATTAAATTCGTAAAATTGAAGACTGATATAAAGAAAGAACGAAATGGTAATGTTCTCAAAAGTACTAAACTAGAAACTAGTTATTGACTAAGGAAGGTTACATTTCGAAACATTGCTTCATTTCTCATAAAAATGCAAAAAAATAAGAGGAACATAAGAAACAATGTGTTTATCTGTTTGGTTTACAGGAAGCAACTTTAATTTTAATTATTCAATTTTTTGTTAACATTAAAATAATCTCAAGATATTTGAATGTCAAGCTTCGTACGTACTAGCGAGACTAGATTTTTTACTAATGTGTATTAGTGTTTATTAACTGAATGGGAATAAATTTGTTTTCATTTAGCATAAAAGAAAAGGACAATTAACTTTTTCCGGCACAAATAAGACTGCCATTCAATGAGAAATGTGGATCGTCTGGTTTCATCGAAAGTATATATAAACGAAAATGGAACATGAAAGAGTAGTAAGGATGTTTACGTAAGGCAAGGAATATATTTCCATGCCATCATTAATCCTCTGTCATTAAGTTTCCCGTGTTACACATCCGCGAACGCGGGAATTGCTTTCTTTCGGACCGTTGTCTCAAAGTTTTAACGTGCCCCAGATGAATCCTTCTTAATAATTAAAAAATGCCTCGCTATAAATGGTCACATACAAAAACTTTATTCGACAAGTTTCTCTCATCTTTGACAAATCAGAAATATTCCAAGGTGTTTCAAAAACTTATTGAAACTTTCACTGTGTGGTATAATTATAATAATCATTGTAATTTATTGTAAATATACATCACCAATCGTATATCCGACAATTCAACGATACATTTAAATCAACTGAACCGTTAATTACACAAACACAATAAAATCGAACACCTAAATTCTATATAAAACCATAAACAATATAACCTAGAGAAAGGTATTATTACAAAAATAATATTCAAAAAGATAACAATAAAATGTAACCCACAAACAGTTGAACGAAAGTTTCTTTCAACAGTGTCAGCAGTAGTTTAGAAATATCAGAACAAATCAGCGGATTTTCCATTGTCCTACAAACGAATCATTCGTTTACAAAAATGGACAATCCATCCGTCTGTAAAGTAGAAAAGCTTCAATGAAATTAATTACTTTAAAATTTTAAATTACTTTAAAAAATTGCTCAACGTTTTAACACTGTTCAAAAACATCGAAAAAATATAGTTAATCAGTTCGGTTAATGAGCGGCTCGAAATATACGAAGGGAAAGAATGGAAGACAGTAACTGATTCAGGTATCAGCTGCTCGAAGTCTACATACAATTATGTACTAAAACACCGGACGCGCTCTCTGCTACTGTATACAGCTCTATCATTATCAATTCTCGCAAGGAACACCGAGATGGTACCAGCCTCTCGAGTAATTTCCATAAGCAGGTACCGGGCTGAAGGAAAGGTAAGGAAGAGGTGGAAGTTGTCGAATATTACAACCGCGATGGGGAATGGTGCCAGTTTAGTTCGCCGTTGATCGTGGTACCGTAAACTGCGATCCTTCTCCCTTCGCGTAAAGTGCAAACACACCTCGGCGAAGATCATCGGTGCTGCAAGCACGGAATTCACTCGATAGGATAAGATCGACGACCCGTCAAAGGTAAGCCATTGTTGCAAGTTGCATAAAGTTTCCAGGAAACTGCGGATGTTCACGCGTTCATAGCATATTTCAGTGCGCGGGACACAATGAAACGAGGATTACAATAAAATTTCAAGGAATTCTCGTATCGTTTCGGATCTTCGCGAAGGTAGTATGTCTCTACTGGATGTTATGAACTATTGAAAAGTTCATGAAAACTGGAGATTGCATCAACATCCACAGTCGAGTCGTGGCTACATATGATTGGCGACAAATAGCATGTAAAGTAGGTTAATGATAAATAAATACCGATGTGTAATGAATAAATGACGGATCAAATGGGAGTTTAAGATTTATTGCCACGTCGGTTGAAGGAAATATTTGATAGATGAACTATGGCAAAAATGTAGATGATTATGATCATTGACAAATTAATAGCAGAGATATTTGCGATGGTTTGAATGGAAATTTATGAAAGACATTTGTTCACAGATTCGCTTTGTCACTGAAACAAACGAGTGATCTGCAGTCACAAGATAGAATTTTGTTAACTAAACAGTTTCTAATAAATTGGTATTCGTTAATTATCTTTTAACGAAATGGAAACTGAAGAAAATGAAAGTTTCTGAGACTATTGCGATTAAAAATTCAGCCTTTACTCAATTGCAATGCAAGATCCTTGCATGAAATAGAAAAGGTCTAGTATTTGGTCACTGGTCGCTTGCAAGAAATTGCGGTCATCTCGGAATTACGATCTGTGAGAAATCCTTATAACGTAATCGACTGGCTATATAGGTACTTCAATATGAATTCCAATACTCAGTTAATGCTATTGGTAATCATTACATTATTACTATTATTACAAAGCATCTCCCACAATCATGGAGTACTATAAAAATATTCCAGATTGTACAATTTTGAATATATTTATAGTTGGCATATATTACTTTCACAAAGTCCATACATTTTTTAATTATACATATAGTAATAATTACACAAAACGTTGTTGCATGTATTCGTGTAAAAATTTACTAACTTTGGTAACTGTTGAGATAAAACAATATAACAGCAGGTATATATGTTGTTTGAAAAAAAATATTGAACAGATAAAAGTAAACAACACATTGTTGAATGTCTTATGACCATCATTTATTATTTTTGTTTATTGACATTGGATGTTCATAGCCTATTCTACAAAACAAAGATCAAGAAGGCTTATTTTGCCCTCTAAAGGATGTGATAAATTAAACATAACAATGCATAAAGTAGAAAAAAAATAATTAAGCCTTGCTAGACGTGTTACTTCATCTTGGTTTTACATGTTACAACAATTATTTAACACAACGTTACATCACTTTATTCGATATGAATGAAATTCCCCTGAAAGAAAGATTTGGGTCTTGTTTGTTAGGGAAATGTTCCCAGAAAACCAACACTTGGATTTTTCCGTGAAACGAAACGGCGAAAGACACGTTAATTGTGATTGCCAGTTCCGCCTTTTCACGCGTTTCATTAAAGGGATATCTAGCTGCTTGAAAATTATACAAAGTCGCGACGCCTGGGTTGTGCAACACAGAAGACGACAAAAAGGAGATCACATACAAAATATGTATGAAATACTGGCACTGCTCATTACCATAATTTATCTAATTACTTGAACCATATTTATAACGAAGGTATATATATATATATGTCAAGACGCGGCGATTCACTTCAATAAATACCCCAAAAATTTTACTAACGAAATCTGTAGAAGCCGAGACTTGTCGCAGTACTTTTTCAACCCTTCTTTAACATTTTCATAACGTACAGGTATTAAAATGCCAGACATTTAATTTAACATAGATGTATGTTTTTAATGATGATATTATTACCGTGAATCCTGTGTAATTAATAAAAAAAAATATAAACGACGGATAAGTAAATAATATTTACTCCGTGTAAAAACACTTATTCATCGATTTACAATAAATTAAGTGTATAATATAACATTAAAATAATGTTATAAATTTAGCATCACGTTTTAAATATTATAAAATATATAAATATTACAATAAAATATTTTGCGATATAATAGAAATTATTTATACAGTAAACCGATAATCATATAACTGGATACGAACTAATTATGAGCTTTTATAATAATTATACGTTGTACATATTACAAGGCGGCAGCAGAAATGAATGTCATTTTATAAAAGAAACAGAATATACATCTCCGCCTTCTACATTTGTACATGCAGGAAGTAGCTCTAAAAATAAGTTAAATGGATTCTCCATTTTAAAATTATCGCTGACTATCGAATAACATTTCGTTGGTGCTTTTTGTGACCGAGTTCCTGATATGAAATCAATACTTACGTAAGAATAAATTGATTTTCAATTTAGTTCTACGCGCTTTTTTCCAGCGTCTTAGATTCGGCGATTTCAATCTTTAAGGATATACATAATTATATTCACACTTACTCTTGTGCTACCACACTGTACTACTTCCTAATTAGCAGATTACTTGTACAACACACTAGAAAGATGTAAATTTATTTCACTTTATAGAGCACAGGTGATTTGTAATATTATTCACAATTAATGTCTATTACAAACACTTAGTTTCCTTTTTATGAAAAAAGCAGTGGTTCCTAAATTAATTGTTTGATTTTGTAATACTGCATTCATTATATTTCGTTATAAGAAACGTAATTATTCTTTCCTAATTAATTATTGATTAATCATTAATTAATAATTAATAATTAATGATTAATCTATTAAGTAAGATGCAAATTATTTGAAGGTACAGAATTTTAATAGATAAATTACATAATTATATTACATAATAATACATATTTACATGAATATACATAAACACCAAATATTTAGAACAAAAAACAATATTTCCTGTTAGAAGACATTGTTCGAATAATAAATTATCCAACTACTGATGTATTAGCGATAAGTGTTTAACATTAGAACTACTCGTCAAAAGTTTCCTTACTCCGCAGTTACTGGTATCTTAACAGTGAAAACAATTCAAAATGATTTGAAAAATAAATGGTTTCACTTGCATACTACAATGAATACCTAAAGAAACCGAAAAATAAAGTAATATCATAATTTTCATAAGGATTACACATAAATCATTATAAATACTCGGTAGTTCTAGTGTTAAATAAGGGAGGTTACGCTGAATTCCTGCAATTTAAATTCTTCCGCATGCTGTACCCGTGAATTGTAAAAACTGGAGTGATCTTTAAAAAAGAAAGCGTTAAACCAGTCGTCGTTTCATTTCCATGGAACGCAAACCAACTGAGAAAGTCCGCAATTCACTGGTTGACAGGTTTAAAGCGGCGAACGAGCATTACAATTAACTCGCCGCGCAGTCTTAACGGGTCAACGGTATCGAATAAGCGGAACAATTAACACAATGTACGTTTTACCTAAGTATCTTCCGGCGAAAATTACAGGACACCGATTACACGCGGCACGAAGCGTTTTACGTTCTAAATAGCACAGAAAATAATAAAGAATAAGAAAAGAAAAGAAATCGCAGAAAATTCTGTTTCAAACGCAACGGTTTTTGCCCGTGTATCATGTAACAGACTTTAATTCACGGCGATCGGCGTGCCCTGGCATACCTTGGCATTAAGAATCGTGGAATTACTCTACCTTTCCCTTGAAATATTCCCACCAGTCTCATCGTTCTACTCGTCTTACATTCTCTTTGTGTGCGTGAAGAAATATACCGGCCAATTTCTTAGTGTTTAAGCATCAAAGATATCGGCGATCAATATGTAACGGACATGATAAAATAAAAAAAGGAGGAGCATCTAGTGTTCCAAATTACTAACACTTTAACGTTGCATTTGTGCCGTGCTTAAAAGAAGAATTTTTATCAGGAATTTTGACAAAATTATTCTAAAAGCTTCGAGTTCAAAATTATTTTAAAAGCTTCGAGTTCAAAACTGGTATCATGTATAATAAAATAAAAAGCGAGGAGGATTAAACGAAGAATGTTTAATTTTTATGAAATTGTTCTAAATTAAGTAGTGAAGTAAAAGATAATATTAGATTGTTCTAGAACCCATAAAACCTTCCATAAATATTTTATGAAACCCATAAAATATTGTAGTAAAAGTTTCCGACGCAAATTTAAAACAATGAATTATTCGCAAAATATTAATGCGTCTTATTTTTAAATATTTAAATCATTGGAAACGATTTTACTACTCAATGTTAAATTAAATTAAAAAAATATAATTACTTATTAGAAGTAAATACAATAAGAAAATAGGTGTACGCAAGTTGTCCGTAGTTCTAGTAGAAGAACTGGTACGAAAATTAACTCTTCTAAATGAATTATCATCTAAATGAATAAGATGATCAAGTTCTTCTCCATTATATTCTAAATATTTCAAATAAACCTTCTCATGTGCTTTTTTTATGGATATAACATAACACACTGTTCACATCATGAAATAGATAAACAGGAAAAAATATACATTTACATTTTTAAAAATAATGAAACTACAAATTTCACGCGCACATGCACATGCATCATTGTACTTCTGAAAAAAACATTCTTCTTCTTCGACGTTTTTCCAGAACAGCAACGACAACGGAGTTATTAGCCTGAAACAATTGCATGGACCACCCTGTATACAATTTATTGGAATTTTCAACGACTTATTATTATGGCATCATAAAATAAATCGTAAGTCGCAAAACGTACAATTAAAGAGGCAAAGATAATAGAAACTTTTTCTCGGTAAGCGTAAAAAGAATACCCATCCTTCAACTTTAATAGAAACATTAAAGTTATTTATAACGACTCTTCGCCAAGACATTACATAACATTTCGACGTAAAAACCTATATCCAAATTTCGTTACGTAATACATTCATCTTCGAATGTTCTTATAAAATTTAACAAACTCGGCTAGCATATCTAATGAAGAAATGTTGCAATATTGCATGCTACATAATATTTCCATTTTACAACGAACGTAAAAATATCCACCCAAAAAACGT